ATCAAGACATTGTTGATACACACACATTGAAAAGATTGATCTTCTGATATGTTGCTTAGGAGAGAGTTTTTCCTCTCCTTTTTAAAAGAAGAGGAGAGTTCTAATGAAATTTTCATCGTACAGTTTTTTGCTTTTATACAACACTGTAACTTTATAAGAAATTTGATGAAAATAGGATTTTTATTTTTTTTTGCACGCATTATACAGTACAGAAAAGCTGGATTATGATCTGACATTTATAAGCAATTACAAGAGCTAGACATGCATAAGAGTGTCAAGATACAAGAAATGTTATGGGGACCTTCTAATGCATAGGCTACACTTATTTCCTGGCACTAGCCAGAAAACAGCAATCACTGTCACAAGCCCACAACCACAAGCTCACAGCCTGAGACAAACCACATCATGAAGGATTATCTGAAAAGAAAACAAAACACATTGTATGTGTCTAGTTTGGACATGTGATAAGAATACTAAAGATGGGAGATGTAAAGAAGCTATTGTTCTAATTGCTGTTTACTTTTCAGGAGTTAGCACATATAAGGTAGTTTTTATTCTACACTTCCCTCAAAAAAAAAAAAAAAAAAAAGAAGAAAAAGAAAACTGCTACCTAGCTGCCATGGAAGGCAAGAAAAAAAGTAGGAACGGCTATGTGTCTGAGCGTGGATATGTTAAAAAATGTGAAGGAAACCCCTGGTCAATAATTTAAAAAGCTGTCAAAGATCAGGATTTTAAAATTCTACATAATCAAGCTCAGAAGCAGAACACCACCCTGTCTCAGGGCAACAGATTTATTCCCTTTGATGAAGGAAGTAGTGATGGATTTCTTTTTACCTTGGTTGCAACTTAAAGTTACTTTCTTTTCGAAAAAGCATGACTAGATAGATCTGATTTAAACTAAATTCAAAAAATTAATTTTTGAAAAATACAGTACTTACTTTCTGTGCCATGTAACCATCAATATTGGTACTTATCTTGATGAGAACATGACATATGTCCATATGCTGACTCAGTGCAGGGAAAAAGAATTTATTCAATAGCCACTGTTCTGACTAAAGAATTGTCTTACAACTGATCATATTCACTTGGTTCAGCTTTCTGACACACTGGCAAGTTCAGCCATTTTGCATTTGGCTCACATCATATTCTCATCAACCAAACAACAATGCTGATGGTTACATGGTACAGAAAGTAAGAGCTGTGTCAAGCAAATGTGTTGTCAGATTTTGTCCACCAGAGGTAAAGTGAGCTCTGCCTTGTAGATCATTTGCTATAAGGATGGACTGCTGATGAAAGGTTGCCTTAAGATCAGCCTTCTGGAGCATATAGGCTGGAATTCTCCAAAGTCCACATGAAAGACATGAAAATATCACTAAATACCAGGCTCATACTTTCTGAGACATCTGTCGGCCAGATCTTTCATCTCTTCTGGGATAGCCTGTTTGACATTGCACAATACAACAGACACAAAACACTACTGCCATCAATTGCCTCTGAATGTCTTTGACAACGTATGGGAGCTGATATGAGTACAAGAAGATATCAGTAATTGTTCAGGTGAAATGATTACTATTCATGCTGTTGTGAGCAAGATAAAAGCCGTTCCTCCAGCTCAATCACAGGTAATCCATTTTTCACATGATATGGTGTCAAACTTGTACTAAAAATATATCACTGCTCAATGTGCATAAATGAAGTAAACAAAAGATCTTTGGCAGACACTAGAGTTTTCCCCTTGCTGTTTTGCAGCCTCACCCTCCACAGACCACTGGGTACACCAAGTTTATAATTAAAATATGAAATAGTAATTTAATGAAGACTGGTACCTAATGACTTATTGCATTGTGATATTTGCAAATGATTTAAACGGGTACTTGCACACTAGTGTTTTTGTAGAATGCTAGATAATACTGAATAAAATCATTATGAAATCTACATAATACTGGTATAAAAAAAACCCCAAACAATGACTACACCACAAAATAGTGGACTATTCCAAAAACTTTTGGACAAGATTTAGTACGTTTGTATTGGCTTGCAATAAGGAAAAGTTTTTCTGTCTTTCTCTCTGATTTCTCTCACCCTATCCAACAGAGAAATCTGCAGTACAAAATGGTGTCCAGATATTTTTCTCTTCCTTCACACCCTAGCATATGGGATCTTTTAGCTCAGCAATATGTACTCCTCCCTACACACTTGTTTGAGGCCCAGCAGATAGCCACTGATATCATGTGTCGTTATTTGGCTCTGCTTCAGCACTTTGCTATAAAACACTGAGGCCAGAAAGGAGGGAATAGGAAGTATAGACTGTTCCAAGCTTCCGCTGCTTGTTTCTGCAGAACTAGAAAGTCCATGTGATTTGGTATTGCTCAAGTGCAGAGAATGAAACAGCTAAAGACACATGGAACCAGGCAATCTAGTACTGAGGATGGTTAGTCTGGGCTAGGCAGAGCAGAGTGTAGGCCCATTATAGTTATGCCACACATTTCTCACAATCAAACTCTTCAGCACAGACAAGGTATATGTGTGGGGAAAAAAAAAAAAAAAAACAAGAAAAAAAGGAAAGAAAAGAAAAAAAAGGAAAAAATATGACAAATATTGCAGGGTATAATCCTAGTTACAGCCATCAATTTGAACACTGACATGCTCACTGAACAAAGTATATCCTTCATGGGTGTACAGATTGTAAATTTATCACATACGCTGCTTTGTGGAAAACAGACGTTCTTATATTTTTCATCACAAGAAGCTAAGGGCTTGAGTAACTTGACATCAGTCCCTAGTTCAGCCTTTGAGCCTGCTGTGCAAATTAAAATGTCAGCTCATGGTTCTCCTGTCATGATATGAACCTAAACACTTTCTCTGAGAATTGTTCCCTAAATCCATGTTTTATTTCTTTCCTAATAAACTCAATAACAATTTGAAAAAAAGAGGAAGAAATGTGTGGCAACACCAGAGGGTGATACAGTGCAAGCTTTTCTGAAATGAGCTGGTGCTTTTTCCTGCCTTCTCTACTCCTTCCTTTTCTCCCTGCCTTCAGGAGCACCTGCCCAAATGCGATTGCCTTGCTGACAAACAGATGGAGTAAAACTGCCCGTGTAGTTTTCAGTTTAGCAATTTTAAAAAAAAAAAATATCACAGGATTATTTGGGCCGAACAGAGTGAAACAAGAACGGCTCAATTGAATTACAGTATATAAGACTCTGGCCTTCTGGCTGAATAATTCAAAACAGGGTATTTTCCTTCTTTACTATATGAACAGATACTTCCTTCCTGTGTGAAGAAACAAATCCTTCAACTTTCTGCTTTTTATTATTTTAGAAAGAAGCCAGGGATCAGAGAACATCAACTAATGAGACAGTTCTTTTTTGTATATATATTTCAAATTAAAATGAAAAAAATCCTAAAATTTAAGCCAGATCTCTATGTTTACACACACACATTTCCTGTCTACCAAATGATTCCTGGGACTCCTGCCTCAAACATTTTGCATGCTCTTACAATAAGACAGTAATTTTGAAAATGTATCTTAAAATAGCTGCTGAAAGGCAGAAGAAAAAACTAAAATTACTCCAAGTCATCAAGTCATTGGTAATAATTTCATAGAAAGCCCAACTACATTTTAAGGGGAGGGGGGTGGCAAAAGAAGGCTGATACTCAGATGATCAAAGACCGATCACCTGTAAACTGTACTACTCCAACCAACAACATATTTGGTTTCATAACTCTGTATGAGCCATACAAACATGTCATCATAAATAGTATCTAAGCCTGCCAGTAGCAGGGCTATCACATCAATCTCCTTTGCAAAATTACAGTGGAATATTGACAAATGACTCTTGCAAAGATGTAGCAGCTGAATAAGCACATTCAGAGACAAGGGTTAACGGAAAAAAACTTCAGTCATATCCTCTTAGGTCTCACATGACCACATTGTTATCAGCAGTTTGCTTTGCTTTACCTGAAACTATTAAAAAAAAAAAAAAGCCAATGAATGCGAACAATTAGAGAAAGCAGTGCTCCAGACAAACATATAAGTACATCATCAACAGCTGCATTACTATGCATACTGAGTCTAGAACTTCCCATGTAGACTGTGTCTCTTGAGGCTATAAAAGATAAAATTAGTTTAAAGATTCTTTTCCTTGCTTACTGAATGACAATATTGATCCTGTAGACATTTTTATTTTTTACTTAATTATCAATAAATTCAGGTTTGAATGCAATGTTATTCCTCAAATTCCTTTGGAGCCTGCTTTTATTTTTTAGAATGGAAACTTAAGAGCCAGTTTCAATCCTTTGAAACTGAAAAGACATTATTAACTACATAACTTGTAAAAATTACTAGTAATAATTTCTGGATTTTGTGTATCACAGACTTTCTAAGTGTGGTTTGTTTCTGATTTAACTATACTTCTCTTCATAATTTACTACTGTATTCAGACTTGTGATCTTTTTAGCACTTTACCTATAAGACAAAAGAAGAGCTAATAAGCCTGCTTCACCTCTGGTTTTGGGAGTGTGTTCTTTTTACTGGAATACCGCAACACTGAATCTCAGCTATATTTTCTATAATTTCAGCTATATTATTGTTCTCATTCTATCATGAAAATGAACAAAATATACACTCAAATATTATTGACATTACAATCTGTTACTAAAATATTAAAAGGCTCAACAATTTAGAACAAAAGTAGCTGTTTCCTTATTCTCATTTGATTGTCCTTTAACTGTAGAAATATATGGCTTTCTACGGTGGGTGTGACATTAATAGCACAGTAACTACCAGAACATCTCAAAGAGCAGGAAGCAATTAATCCATGACAAATACATTTAAATGAGCTATATATATCAAATGCCTCTTTATTTCTGGACATCCAACTTGCTGATTCTAGCCCTGTAGTCCTTTCAATTTCTTTTATTTCCAGCACCTACACAATTGCTTAATAAAAATAACATTTAATTTTACATGAAGCTTTTATGCTAATGACTGTGCTTACTTCAGAAAATGTGAAATCATCCACATTTATTTCTTCATAGTCATCCTCCACTTCATCACTTTTAACAGCTGCAAGAGCACTGGCCAGTTTCTTTCGCAAAAGAAAACCCTTCCAAAATGCCTAAACAAAAAATTTAAAGCATGTTATACAAAGCCATAGATCAAACCCAAATCCAGATTCTCTATGTTATCCCATTAGGAAGATAAAACATCTTGGGCCTTGGTTTAATAGCTCAATGATCTGTTTTTTGAACTTTATGTGACATTTAAAACTACAAGACAAATTAAATGCCAGCATATGTCTAAAGCTTAGAGTACTCAAGAGGCTCTCCACAAGTAAGCAGAAAGGAATCCTGAAACTCCCTCAACTACAAACCTGGGTCAACTAATTAATTATTTGACAATTCCTTCAGGGACTATTATAAACTGAAAGGAAAGGCTACATAAGAAAAAGCTGAGTGTCAACTTTCAAATTACTCAGAATCAAAATACACTTGTACTAAATGTCTTATAGTTTACAAGTAGCAATTCTTGGAGACATCTCATGCAATTGACCTAGGTCAGTTACTCTTTCTTAACTGTCTAAGATCTTTATTTTAAAAAAAATATTACCAGTAGGCACAATCATATCTAAGAAAAGAGCAGCAGATTAGAAATTAAGTGCTAGAAAAAGAGGAAGGGTGTGAGGAATACATGCCAAGACATAGAATCAGATCCAGCAAAACGCTTCAGAGATCACAATTACATAGATGGAATTAAGAAAACTAAATTCAGGACAGCAATTTTCTCCAAAGTCAGCATTTGACATGATTAGAATTCAAGATGTTCTAAGCATTTAAAACACCATCCAAAAAATTTTCACTGTCCTGAAAGATTTAGTGTTGTCCACAAATAATGGCTTTGCAATGAAGGCACTAAAATAGGAAAGGTAAATCTCATATTCTGGCTTATCATTTATCTTATTAATTTTTAGGAAATTATTGTCTAACTGCATAAATTATTGAAAATGTTACCGGTTTTACACACACAATTCTTAATTATTATAAAAATTCTACGAACTGCTTTCTTCTAATTTTCCTACAGATCTTCATAACCATTCACATAAAATACCTGATATTATTGAGTGATCAAATGACAAATATATTTCCTTCAGCAAATACAATTAGTTTTTACAAATGCAAAGGAGAAAAGCAATCCTAATGGTATATGCAGAAGGATAAACTGTAAGGCGGCTGTTAACACAGATCTATGAAAGCACCAGGTCAGTGCTCAGTAATTATCAAAACGAAAAATTATATGTTAGTAGTTTTTAAGAAACAAGATGAAAACTATCTTACTGAAAACAAGATGAAAATTCATAATATATGTCCCTATGGAATTCAGTTCTAGTAACTTCTTTAAAAAAGGTTATGATAGAATAGAGGTAAAGGTTCAGAGAAGGACAAAAAGATAAAAAGTACAGGGTAATATGAAAAAAGACCAAATGGACTAAACTTTTATTTACAAAAGAGTAAATATAAGGATGGATACAAGACAGATCTAAAAATCCATAAAATGCACAGAAGATAAATTATTTCGTACTATATTTTATTTTCATACTAATTTGGGAAATTATCAGGTCTGAAACAAATGAAAGGAAGCACATTTTAATCACTATATAAATTTGTGAAACTCATCACTTTAATATATAGTAGAGGTCAAATATATAAGTTCAAAAATGGATTAAATAAGATTATGGAGATCGATTGTTAATCTACTAGCTACACACTAAACTCCAGAAGCAAATTTTAGCTCAACTTTCCAGATAACTGACAGCTACAATATGTTTCTGTACTAGTCCTGTTTCTTAGTATGCACATTTACTAAATATTTTGCTACTGCTCATTTATTGAATAGATACTAGTGAATTACTTAGATTTTCAGTCTGAAAATGGAACTTAGGCTCCTACATCACTTTGGCACTGCTGACATATTAAATAAAGACTTACAATATCGAATGTTTTTAAGTTAACTTGAAATCTAAAATCAATACTCAGTCCATTTACTTAAAAATGTAAAAAACCTCATGAATTCTGGCAATTTGGCAGGTAAATACTATATCTGATTAGCAAGCTAAACAGAGCCAAGGCATGGACTTAAATTCTTGCACATAGTAATTGATTCTGTTTAACTGTTAGCTCAGTTATCTACCATAGGACAGCCTAGGCCATGGTCCGTTCCAATGGCAGTATAGATGAGGCAATCCTGGTTTTGGGAGATGGGGAAAGAAGGAAAGAGATGGATAGGTAGGATAGAAGATATGGTAAGAGTAGTTAGTTGTATAGATATCAAACATGATGTACCAGTTATGCAGCATCTGTCAGTTTAATAGCGTAGACATACCCCAGTAAGAACATGGGCACAATAAGTCTTAAATGTAATGTTGGAATGAAATCAAGCACAACTAATTCAGGGAAATACTTGGTGAAACGAGAGAAAATATTTTTATGCTTCTATAAACTTTTTGTAAAGAAGACTCTCTTTTAGAAACATCAAGCTTATGCTGATTAAATAAAACAAAAAATGTTTAATTATGAAACTATTAATAAAATCATAAACAAAAATAGAAGATTACAAGTACACAAAACTAGTTAAGATTTTTTTTTTTCTTATTAAATTTGCAAAATAAGTAAAGGGAATACCATAAACCAACCTGGATTAGTGTGGCAGCTTCATGCTTCTGTCTCAAAGCTTCTACAAACTCACAATTCTCTGTTTTGGTGCAGTCAGTTTTCCTCCTGGCACGGTACTGCCGCCAAAGGGACTGTATCACTGATGCTGCCATATGTAGCCTCATAGAGAAATAAATACGTTTATGAATGACGTAGCCTCACCAGTACAACTAGATTATCACAGCTGCCAAACTATAACCATAAAACATAGCACTATGCATGGAGACAAATGGAAGGCTCTACTATTAAACTGTTAAGAAATTACAATCCAGATGTGACATATATGTTCAGAAACACTGGAGGATATTCACATCACATAACTTCGGAAATCCAATTATCTAAGAGGACTAATCTCCACTGGGCTCTGTTCCCTGTATATTCACGGGAGAGGATGAGTCTCCTCAAAGGAAGGCTTTGGAGCAGAAGTGGTTTAACAATGACTGAATAAACTATTGGAGGGATCCACTTATCTCCACTGTCCATATAAAAAAAACCAACCAAGCAAACAAAAAACAATCAAACCCAAGAGAGCAAAATGCTGAAAACTGCATGAGAGAAATATCTCCAATACAGCAGACAGGAAAAACTGAGAAAGTGTAATTTCATCTTTTGCCTACTTTTACCCTTCAGTTTAACACTACTGACCACTGGTTAAATGTGCATTTTCTAATTTGCTCATTGTTTAACAAGCCTGATTACAGACTATTTAGATTTGTTCAGTGATTGAGCTTACTAAATACACGTTCAATTAATTTATACTGATGGAGAAAAAGTTTAATGGCAGCTCTGCATTATGACTTTACTATCTTGGAATTTGTTTCTCCACAAAATTCTCATTTCTATTGGACAGTGGGTTTAAGAAAAGACATCTAAATTTCCCCCAATCTTTACATGTTTTCTTTCCTTGTGCAGTGCATCTATTTAAATAGAGTACTTTCCAGCAAAAAAGCACACTTCAGAGGTTAAGCCAGAATTTTTTTTTCCTAAAATGTGTTTATTAAGTTTATCAACACCAAAACATGGTTTATTTATAAGCTTTGCATCTATAAAATCAGTAGCTGAGTTAAAAAACAAACAAAAAACCCTCTAATGGTTTGTATTCTGTGTGGAAGAGAACTGTCCAACATCAGACTTAAAGAATGCATTTAAAATATTAACTAAAAACTCTAAATGAAATATTTCAAAAAGATTTTTCTGAAGTGTTCATCTTCCATAACAGACTACTGTACTCTTTCAACTTTCCTGAGAGGCAATGATGAATACTATGGTCTTCCCGGCTAATGAATTTTATGACCAATTAGTGTCTTAAGTACCTATTAAGCACTACTGCCCATTTACTGTAAGTCTAAACAGCATGAAGAAGCACACCTTCCATGCTTGCTCTTCATAGTGTTCTCAAGACATGTATTTTCGAAACTGAATTCTTACGAAGTTGTAACTGAATTTTTGACCCTTTAGGGCAAAAATTTCAGCTTCTGTTTTCCCTGACTGTACATCCAGAACCACACAAACCAGCAACAAATGCATTCCAAAGAGGTAATAAACCAGTCTGTTTCATGTGGGAGAATATTTAGGGGCACAGAAGAAGTTGAACTGGCCCCTCACCCCTGCCTCTACTTTTAAGAAGCAGGTTGAGGCATGTTGGAGGAGTACCAAGGGCAGGGCAGGCTGTTAGCTCTTCAGTCATCACAACAGCAGGAGACTGGCCTAAGGTCAAGGGAGTACGATGGTCGATTTGAGCAACTTTTCCCTCTTGTCTTCTAAGCGGTACTGACTGTAAACTCTGCACAGATGAATACTGGATGTCTAACAATCAGTATAGCAAAAAAAGCCTTACACTGGTTTGTAGTTTAAATTGCCCCAAGATTTCTGCTAACCATCCAGCATTTTGATTCCTAACATTGTATGTGCCATTGAATTGGTATCATAAATTTATTGCAAAAAAAGAAGGAAAAGGTAGGAGACAACAGAAAGTTTTCCAATTCTCTTACTATGAAGTATTTTTAAATTATTTTAAATACATATGTATCTATATTCTAATATATCATCTGAGGGAATACCACAAAGGATTGTTGTTAATATGGAAGTCCAGTGTGCATCACCATAAATAACTCTTTATTGTCTAATAAGCTTAAAAGTTTTCTTACTACAAGTTCTGTGCCTCTGTTTTAAACAAGAAATCCTCCCTCCTACTGCCTATCCACATAATCTATTTGAAAGCGATCTGACATCTGTCTTACCTTTCTGTATCATTCCCAAAATGCTGAAGATCTCTTCCCATATTACTTGCTAGTATCACTGACTGTTGCAACGTGAGTTGGGCTGATGTGTTATTGTTACCTTTGCTCTCCCCACTGTAATTAATACAAGATTCAGTGCTCTTCTGCTTCACTCTCTGATCTTTATTTTCCTTTTGGTGCACAGGTATGGAGGAGTTAATGAATGTGGCCTGAACATGGCCAGTAGTAATCCATCTTTCGGAAGGATCCAACAAGACCTGTTCATTTTCTGTCCCACCCATGATAAAGAGGTTATTTTCCTGTAGGCAGCCAATGGATGTTTGCTTTAAATGATTTTGCAGTGCTTCTGGTCCATCTCTGTCAGTAATGTTTAGTTCACTGTACTCATGTGCATATCGATGTTTAATACTAAGTTTCATCAACTGATTCAAATACCAGCATTGTCTGTGTGCAGAATCAATAGAAGATGCAATTCTGAAAAAAGACAAAAATGCTTTTACATGTGTTTCAGACTGTACGAATGCTTCCTAAAAATATATATTCCCTCTATTATTCTCTAAAATACCCTGTATTTTCAAGGACCCTTACATGTTTCCATATTCATATGGATACATATCCAAATAGTAATAGTAATTACTCTGATTGAAAGCCAATTTCAGTATTTATAAATCTCAATTGCATTTTTCTTTTTTTGGCAGCATTTAAAATATACTCATGTATATTAGATTGCTTTTTTTACTCTAACATTTTTTTGTAAAAGGTTTCAGACTGTTTGAAATAGGCACTAGGGCATGTGTTTCACTATTAATTTTCTGTGTGGTTAGAGGCATATGAAGCCGAAAATTTTAGAGGATTTGAGGCAATTTTGTTATAAATCCTGTAATAGCCTTAATAATCCAATTTTATCTGGAAATTATGAAAGCTAATATATAAATAACAGTAATTTTAAAATTTAGGTTAGAACTACAGCAACAAACCCCAAACTTAGATTCAAACCAACAAACCAAACCAACAAACCACAATGCCTAGAGAGAATTTATGAAAACAGAAACTTTTAAGTATAGATATTTTTATCAGTATAAGCGAAGGTGCTAGATTGAAGCAACATTAACCTACGAAGTCTGGCTCTCGTGTTCTTTGTGTTACACCATCTAAATGACAAGCATGAGTAAGAGCAAATACGATCTAATTGTTACAGATTCAGAAGGCTGTCTGTATTCGGACGGTGTTGGTCCATTGTATTAGGTAGCAGGTACTTTCTGAATCGCAAAAACATTTTCCTTTGATAGCATAGATAGATGCAGAGATCTAGAATCTGGAGCTATTTCCAGAGGAGCATAAAGTCAATTCTAGGTCAGCCATCCAAGAAAATCCAAGAAAAAATAGAAATAAAATCAATTCTCTAGGGAGTCTGGAAAAACCAGGTCCTAAGATTATAGTTTGAATAACAAAATTTTCCTTCCTGTTTATCGTTCTTGAAAGGTGAAGCTTTTATAAGGTTTTATTGTGAAAAGATTCTTTACCTATATATTTCCCCTAGAGAAGTTCAAGAACTTCTTAGATTTTTAAGAACATACAGAATCAGATCTTACAAGAGTAAAAAGGATTCCAACTCTTCCTCTGCTAGTACAACTTCAGTGCTATTAGACAAAATATGCATGGCTAAATTGGAAGCCAAACCCACGCAGCCTAATTACACATCTCACTGTGCATTAGTTGTACATTTGATTGCCCATTACACAACATTACTCCTCCTCCTGTTAATTCCACAAGTATGACAACAATTCCTAAAACTATTTAAACCAATGCATATATTTGCTTAAGGATCTAACAAATTCTAGCTGTCTCCTAATACAGTAAGAATAGTAATTTCTTAACCATTAAATGATTAAAACATTACTTAAATACTTCAGTTAAATACTTTAAATTAGTTAAAGTATTTAAGATAAATTTGGTACAAGACCATTACCACAGTTCTACAAAACATACTATGGTAAGAAGACAGAAAAAGAAAAAAACAAAAAGGAAAATACCCTAAAATTCATTCCTACCTTTTATTTCCTCTGGTTTGTTTTAGTGTTGTTGTTTGTTTGTTTATTTGAAGATTAAAATATTGCAGAAAAAACACAGAATGTTTTATATATTGGGCAAAATAAAATTATATATGAAAAGTATATTTTAAGCATACTTGTTCATTCTCAAAAAACAGAAACAAAGTAAAATGAAACACTGTAACTGTGAGCAGAGTAGGATACTTGTGCACCCTCTCCTTCGACAGGTGCAGGGGCATCTCGAGCAGCTGTTTCACCTTTCCAGTGGCTATGAAGGTGGCAAACAGGAACAGTTCAGCACAATGGTGGTTACAAAATAGAGTCTTGTCACTGTGGGCATGCAGCCTATCTCCCAGCTTACATATTCCTTGGAAATCCACAACTATACTCTGATTTTATAGGATTTTTTGGCTGCCTTCTGTGTATCAGTGGCTTTCCTTTCAGGCAGTCAGATCAGCCTACATTTCAAGAAACTACAAAAGAAACTGTAGTGACATCTCAGAGAATTACAAGCAGTGAAGTGGCCTGGTAACTGTATTTGGGGTTCTCCTGGAAAGGTGAAGCTCCAAAGCACAGACAACAAATATTAAGATGGGGCCTGAGTGCTACGTGGCAGTCAGCTTACTGGTTTCCTCAGGTGAACAGGGATTTCAGGCAACTCTGGAGAAAAAAAGAACTATTCAATAGGCCCGGGGTAGAGCTATCCTACCAATGCACTGTAGCTTTCTCAGTGTCTCAAAAGGACTGCATTCTTGATACCAGAGACGTGGTCCTGAAGACTGCTTATTCAAACCACAGAAAGGAAGCTGCTATAATGGAAAATATTCAGGACTGATTTACTTCTTTAATGGAAAAAAAAAAAATACATACAAGGAAAGAGAGAAGACAAAGAAATATGACAGTATTAAGACTTTTGATAGCACTATATTTATTTTTCAGTTAATATAAATTGGTTGTTTGCCTTTCAGACCTTTTTTGGGATTATAGGTCAAGGGGTCTGGTCCCACTAACTATTCTGGAATGGCTTCTTGGTTAAGATACAACCAAAGTTTTAAGCATAAATTGGCATCTAGACAAAACAAAAAATGGGATTATCCTGATGAAAGCACCAGTATCCATACTGCCTGGCTGCTTAGTATATAATGAAATGTGGATGAATATGGCAGTCTTGCTACAGAAAAGTTTTTACGGCTTCCAGCTTTGACCAGCACATTCCCTTATGTTCAATGGCCACCCACAGCTTTATTTTGATCTTAACAAGTGAAAGTCATTTATGCTGTATGTAAATTTTAGTATAGCCACAAAGGATGCACTGCTTTTGCAGTGGGAGAAAGGGATAAACCAGAAGAGGAAGGGATGGGTCTTTCATAGCAATGTACAAACATGCTAGAATAGGAGGCCCTGATAGCACCTAAAGACCAAGATACTACTTTCACAAACGAATGCTAACCTACCTGTAGCTTTCCTACAAAAAGATACCCCTCAACTTGTGCTAAGATTTTCCAGGGATTTTGAGGAAAGATAAAAGCATTAGAATGTGATTTTAATATATTTGGAAATTCAAGTTAGGCATTAATGACTGCTACAACGTCAGTCATAACATCAATCCACCAAGAGCATCCATCACTGTCGTCTTGGTAAATTCAGACCAAACACTGTTCAGTTTCACATGCAGTGACTGGGGAGGAAGGAGTAAAGGTGAGGAGGAGCAAACCCCCACCGACACCACCTAGGGAGTGTAAGGACCTATGCACAGGCTGACTTCACTGATATGGAAAGGACAAGTTATTCATCCGTAAGGCTTTTAAGTGGAGTTTGAATCAGCTAAAATGTTGCCACTGAGGAAGTTTAAGGTGGCAGTAGAAGCTTGCTTACAGAGCTGACATATTTTGTACAGAATTTCCAACTGCAATTGTATCTGTAATGACTGCCAGGATATTCAAAGAGCATTGGGTTTTTTTCAGAATGAGACAGTAAAAATTACATGGAAAAGTCAGCAGAACAAACCTCTCTGAGGCAAAAGGGACACTAGACAAACAAGCAGGTTCTAATTAGCAGTGGCAGTTTTCTCCTGGCCATTGCAGCTACATCATAAATAAAATTCTACCCCTTTGTGTGCTAGCTGCTTAATGTTGTTTTCCCCTGTGCAGCTCTACTGTGATTTTCATAACTCTGATACATGGAATATTCAAATAGTACACTCCCATTTTAACTAAGCTTTTGTTTGTAATAGTGTGGTAAAATCTAATTTGGCTCCGGGGAAACTTCTATAAGCATCATTACTGATGTTCAACTGCAGGTTACAAAAGTCCCTTACGAAAACATGAAAGAGATCACTGTTTACACATTCTCTCCTGCAATACCATGTATGAAATTCCTGTTGTTTTCACTGTATTATACATACAGTATTTATAAAGTTCAAGTTCCACTAGCCAGACATCTGCATATCTGATGACTGAAAGCAAATTACTGCAATAAAGGTGTCATATTATTTTTTTATATGATTACTCACTACAAGACATCTACAGATTACGTGACAGAAAGCATTTATTAGAATACAGAAATTTAATTTTAAAATCTGTTTCATTCTTAAGTATGGCAAGAACAGTGAAGTTTCAGGCAGAAACAGCACACAATTTAATTCGGTGGCAATGGTGTATGAAACATGGATTAAGGAAGCAAGCAGTGATTACTTTTGGCAGCTTACATACTTGAGGTCGCACCTACAGGGGCTCGTAACTTAGCAAGATGTGAAACAGACAGAAGTTTGCTCTATTGTTGGCCTGTTCTTTAGCAACATCACATTAATTCAGTCATACTGAATCAAGTATTGCAGTATGTACATATAATAGCTATTCTGTTAAGGCTTACATACAAACAAGTTGTTTAGTGTTCCTTTTATGAACTGAGGTTGTCAACAGTTTTCCAATCATCCATAAACTGTACTTTTAGTCAAAATAAAAGAGGGCTTTAAACACACAAGAAATTAATTTTAAGACTAAATCTGATACAAGATGCTTCAACCATGTCAAAGTTACCACATTAAAAGATTGTAACCTTAAAAAACCCACAACCCCCCCTCTCCCCTCCCCCCCATCCAAACTATACATTCAGGAAAGAAGAGACATTTACATAATTTCCTCTTCCCACTATTGTTCTTCTCAAACATCTGCAAGCTTTCAAACAAATCTTGCACAGAATCATAGAAAAATTCTCAATTGGAGGAACCTCAGGAGATCTATAGTCCAACCTCCTGCTTCAAAGGTGGGTTAGTTCTGAGATCAGACCAGGTTGCTCAGAGCTTTATCCAGTCAGGTCTTGAAAACCTCCCGAGAACGGAGACTGCATAACCTCTCCAGGCAACCTGTTGCAATTCACCACTGTCCTAACAGAGAAAAGGTTTTTGCTTATGTCCAGTTGTACTGGCTCTGGCTGGGATGGAGTTAATTCTCATTACAGCTGCCCATACGGTGCCGTTTTACATTTGTGATTGAAACTGTATTGATAAAACATTAATTTTTTGTTGAACAGTGGTTGGACAGAGTCAAGGCCTTCTCTGTCCCACTCAGCAAGTAGGCTGGGAGTGGGCAGGAGGCTGGGAGGGGACACAGCCAAGACAGCCGACCTGAATTGACCAAAACTACATTCCATGCCATGTAACATCATGCTCAGCAACAAAACTTGGGGCAGGGGGGTGGTTTTCCAAGGTAGCCATTGCTCAGAGAATGGTTGGGAGGCAGATTACTTTGCATCACTTGGTTGCTTGTTTTTCTTTCTCCTTCTTTCTTTCTTCCCCTCTTTCCTTCAGTTATTAAACTGTCTTTATCTCTATCCACAGGTTTTTCTTGCTTCTGGTCTTCCGATTCTCATTCCCATCCTGCTGGTGGGGGGAGTAGTGTGCAAGCAGCTGGTGGGTGCTTAGTTACTGGCTGGGATCAACCCACTGCACCAGTCTGAACCTCTCTTGTTTCAGCTTAGGTGCTTGCTGCTCATCCTCCTGTCATGCACCACTGCAAACAGCCTGGGTCTGTCTTCTTGAGCATGTGCTTCAACCCCCTGAACATCTTAGGGGCCATGTGCCAAACTTGTTTCAGTTTATAAATGTCTTTTATGTATTGGTGACCCAAAATACAAGGCACAGTATTCTAGATGCAAGCTAATAGGGGCTGAAGAGAGGGAAATAATAACTTCTCTCAACCTACTGGCTGCGTTCCTGTAGATACAGCCCAGGATGTTCTTAACTTTCTTTGGTACCAGGGCACACTGCTAGCTCACATTCAGTTTCTTATCTACCCAGATCCAAAGGTCCTTTTCAGCAGAGACATTTTTCAGCCAGCCAGTCCCAGCCTGTATTGTTGCAAGGGGTCACTCCTTCCAAGGTAAAGAACTTTGCACTTGTCCTTGTTGAATTCACAAGGCTCCTGTTGGCCTGTCTCCCCAGCTTGCCTAGGTCCTTCTGAATGGTAGCCCTGCCCTTAGGCATGTAAATGGTTTCCTCCGAATTGCTGTCATCTGCAAGCATAAGTGTGCACTCCACCTCCTGCTCCAGGTCTTTGATAAAGATGTTAGAAGTCAGCCTCCAGAAAGTAGCACGAGCCATTAACTAGTAATAGTTAATGGATGGTCTGACTACCCAACAAATTTCTTACCTGTCTAGCTGTCCATTCATGCAGATCATGGTTAAATAAATCATTACATTTTGTGAATATCATTTTACCTCCTATTTTTTAGCATCTTGCAGCAATGTATGTGAAAGTTAGGTCCTTAGATTCTGCTACAGCTCTCTCACAAGTCATATCCTAATTACAGATTGTCTTTTTTTTCTGCAAAGGATACTGATGAAACAAGTCCTGTATCTCAGACATAAGAAAATTTTCTCTACTGTAAAGGAGAAGTACTTTTTTTTGCCTCTCCTTTTTTCCTTTTAAGAAAAAGAAAGGAAAGAACACTATAAATTACCACTTGCAATGTCTAAGCTGAAGTCACTGGACAACTAACTATGTTAATAATGATAAAGGAAGTAAGCATGACAAAATCAAAGACCTGAAAACAGAGCCATCTCATCCACAACTTTAAGAGAAAAAGAGGTCAAATCTTTCGCAATCATTTACAATGTGAATAATACAGACATGGAAAATAAATGCAGGAAAAAAATAGAGCATATTGCGATAATAGTCCAACTAGGTTTGGTTAAGCTAAAGCTGGAAATCATGTAAATACGATTATAGCACTTTGGGGATTTAAGCTACTATTCCTGCATACCACTGTATTATGTTGTGTGTATGAATTCATTCAGCTACTACTAACTGCAGGTTTTGAACCACCTGTTTTCCCAAATGTAAACAAACAAAAGTCAGGCCCACATATTTTAATATCTGTCTGAAATACTCTTTGCACTTAAGTCAATGATTCTGATCTCTTTCTTAACATAATACATTTCCAGGCAAAAAGCTAAGTAAAATTCATATGACACCAAGAACTACACTAACAATACATGAAAACATATTTCTGAACACAATTTATATTCATATCAATACATACCCCAGTTCAGCAGCCTTTTTTTTCAGTAGAACGTTTTCTTCAATTTGAACTTGACAAAGCTCCAGAAAAGTTCTTGATTCTGATCCTTTGATTCTTTCAGTTGCGGGTAAGGTATGACAGTTTAAGATTTCACCATCAAGAAACTGTAAACTAGGAAGGACCTTACACAAGGAAGGCCTTAGAAAAGAAAAAGTCTTAATTACTTTTACAAAGAAATCCTAACGCTAAAACTCTCATTTTATTGATATAATCATATAACAAGACAGAACGTGATAATAGTTCTCTAAGTATTTGTATATATTTGTCCTTCATGTGTTAATATATTAACTAAAACTTTATTCTTAATAAACCACTGAACTTCGCAAGATTTTTTTAACACTTTCTTGATAAAAAGACCATTGCTGAAACACTGATCCCAAGGAAATCAATGACAACATTCTCAATTCACTAGAGCTAGCATTTTACCTACTTAAACAACAGGAAAATTTGACACACCTGTGCATAGGCACCTGTAATGCATTTGATTAGAAGGCAACACAGCAAACTAAGTCATCGGATTAAGATACAACACTGATTTTGTTAACGTAATGAAAGGTTTAGATTTAAAAACTGCACAGAATACTAAACACTGTCAGTCCTAGCCCCTTTACCATTTGCATATACCTCATAAAGCAATATGATATTCAGTATGACTGACAGGAAAAAAATCCACTTCTGAAATATTGAATTTGAGGCAGTGAAAGGGATGACAGTAGAGATGACATTTCCTTGCTATGAAAAGGACAGCTGGGGCCACTCATATAGGAAAAAATATGTATGAAAATTTTATCTACCGATTTAAAAAAATAGTATCATCAATGCTCTCTCTTTTAGGTTATTACAAAATATAATCTAGTACTGCAACCTTGTTTCACATATTTCTTATATCAGACCAAATTTGTTGAAAGTTTCAAGACTGCAAAATTATTTAAATCAATACATCAACACTCAATATTTTCATTAAGTTAGTTTTAAGTAACACTTAAGACCTCTTGAAAGAATACTTATTGTAGTCTGTAAGTCCCCTTACTATTAAAAAAGATAATACCATTTTCAAAAATTTAAAACTCCCTGACTATTCCCTGTGAAGGTAAAGGACTATAACTCAGCTCAGACAATATACACTAAGTTTAAAATCAGAGAAAGTTTCTATGACTGAGTTAGAATATTCCAAAATGTAGCTCAATAGGATATTAGTTTTTTGCAAATATAAAACTTTCCTTCTCTACTGCCCATTAATGTAAGAATAACACTGTGTGAAAGACATTTGGAATAAAACAATGGGTTTAGATAGGCAGTCCCTGAACACATTGAGAGAAATTACCAAAGCCGATACTGCATAGTGATACATCAAAAAAGTGCCATATGAAAGTTGATTGATGCTGGAGGTACTGTGTCTTAGAGCTATGGGATCTCAACACTAGTTTTTCCAGCTGGGTTTCTCCTGGTGAAGGGCTGAATCAATATTTCATTTAGTGAAAACTTCCTGGTGAATATTCTGTCACTTAAGAGGCTCTATTAATCATTACAGCATTGAAACACATTCCCCTAGGAGTGCTCAGACTGATCCCAGGGTTTAATTTTTAAAAAGCAATTTCTTACTACTTCACTTTTGTTGGTGTTATCGCTGGCTGGACATGAAAGTACAAAACCGATTGGGAAATTTTACAACTAATTCCTTTGTTGGTATCAAGGGGTTATGTAAAGTTCACTGGAACATATTGCCTGAAGTTATGGTCAATGCTGTATTCAGCAAATCCATATTTTATAGTATCCCATACTTTAAATCCTTTAGACAAATGAATCTCTTGTCTAATCATAAAAGCTCTACTGGGTCAAGCAATCTAAAGTGTCAGTTCTTATAGTTAAATTGGAATTAAGAAAGCTTTTCCCCTCCAGGTTACAAGTGAAATAACAGTTAATTCTGTAAAATAGTGGGAATTAAAACAATGGAAATGGGAATTTAAAATATTGTCACAGTCACTGAATTTTATTCACAAAATTACCTGCAGGAACCATGGGAGTGCAAATAAGTCTGTTCATTAAAAAACAAATGAACCAACCAAGAATGTATTATTACAGCTATCTTTTAAACTACTTAAACATTTCCAACTAAAAGTTTCAAATAGTTTTTTTCCGCTGGAATATTAATCAAAAATCTTCTAATGGAAGATATACATGTAAGGGTGGTTTTGTTTTGTTTTTTCTCTTAATACAACACATAGTCCAAGACACACATACCCCAAAATTTGCTGCTGTTATACTCAGCAATCTAATATAGCAAATGTGAACACAATTTATCTAAACACATTCTTGTGTGACATTGCAGTGTAAAGCCTCGCCTTTAACTGACTTGAAATTATAAAAAGAACAATTTTGGTCATTGTTCAAAATTGTTAAGCTTAAAAAAAAATCATATTTTTCTAATAAAAAATCTCAGTCACCTGTTTTAATTACATCCAAAATGAAAGTCCAACTGTATTGTCTCATTTCATTTCCTCAGACATTTTATTATGTCAACACTTTCCTAGGTAAATACTTGATTTCCTTAGCTGAAAGAACTGGTAATGATTTAAATTCTTACTGATTAAATGCTTCTTTGTACATTTAATGGAATTATAGTAACAGTTCACTAAAAGACACTCTACCATTTCAACACATGTATTCTGGAACATCACCTAAAAATAGAAAATTGCATTTCCAACTTATCATTCTGCTCTTGAGGGCCTGTACACGAGAAAGTATTAATTCTAAGGAAGATGAAAGAACACTTCACATTAAATTAACAGCACTACTGTACTTTTGCTGAGTAATTCTCTCAGACAGCTCTAAGTCTTGATGGCATTGGCCCACGTACAGACTTTCAGACCACAGAATTCTCAAGAAACCAGGACACTTCTACTAAAATACAAAAAAAAAAAAAAAAAAGAAAAAAACCTATCCATGTACAAGTTTATTCATATGGTCTACAAATAAAATCCTATCACAACTACTCATTTCAGGGATTCTGGTGACTGCATCTTATTTCATATGTCAAGTATCCTTTCTACTCTATTCAGTTTTTATATATTCACATATAATAGTCTATAGGACCAGCTCTTTAATTTTTTTTTTAATTATTTCAGTATTATACATGATTGGAAGGCAAAAAACAGCCTTATTTTTAAATATGTGTCTCTTTCATAATCGTAAGAAGTAGTAATTTTTGGTGTAAAGATAAAGAATTCTTAGAACAAGAAAAAATGTCTACGCTTCAACTACTAAGGAAAAATCAACGACTCATTCTGACTTTTTGTTCTAATTTTTTTTCCTTAAAAGATGCTATGCCAAGGATTTCTAGATACTTTTATTATAGACACCACCCTTTCTCTAGCTATGTGCAGTGTGAACCTGTCACAGCAGCAAGACTGTTAAACAGTGAACAGATGAAGTGATGGAACGGATTAAAGAAGAAAAAAAAAAAGACAGCAAAGCAGAGAGAGAAATCCTCTAAGAACCTATGTGATAGGTAGTCAGAAACTGATGGTTCTGAGAAGGGCAAGTAAGCAGTGTAAGAACATTAATAATCAGAGAAAAAAATAAAGTTTTTAAACAGTGCAGATGAAAGAGAAGGAGAAAAAAGGTTGAGTGGATGGTCATATCTTTGTGCAAACATTTTAATAAAATGTAAAATAAGGTAATAAAGATCAGACAAAACATCAGTCAAAAATTTAAAGTTACCAAAGGTGGTAAACTTGTCAGTAAAGAGGAACCACCAGAATTCATTCATATCTTCTTCTTCATGAAGAAGATATTGTGATCAATGGACAAAGAAGCAGGTACAAATAAACAGTGCAAAGAAGGCCTATATCATCGTTATAATTTCTGTATTTGCTTAAAGAAATTGTCATAAAGAAAAATACTCATTTAGGATAACAGTTAAACAGCACAGAGAGATGACTGTTGAGTTTTAGCACAAACTGTTTCTTATTAAAGTTCCAAGTGCTAGGTCAAATATCAAGATTTTTGTTTAAACAGTACTACAAACTGGAATTCTTAGAAAATAAAGATCACAGTATTAATTTTTATTTGCTGTTTTCATATGATCCTCTTCCAGTCTGTGGTAGTGTTCATACTTACCTCATTTCTACTATATAACTAATGTACGTACACCAAGTTTTTGGCTGATTCTGACTGATGAGCAAGAGGTAGATACACCTAGGTTTTGGTTGATTTTGATTTTTTGATTTAGCAAAAGAATTCATTTTCTTACCTCCAATTCCTTTCTTGGAGAAGAGGATTTCCACTGAGTGACAACTCCCTTAGTTCATGACAGCCACTTAACCATGTAAGGACACCTTTAAGGTCTGTATTATAGTAGAAAAGAAAACTAAATATAAATTTGAATGCAGAACCATATTATTTCTCATAAAATCTTACATGAAAGTAAAATGTACCAAACTAATGAAGCACTACAAGCAATTCTGCTACCTATACAGAATAGTTATAATTAATATCTATAGCATCCATGTTTGGAAAATTTTTACATGTTTTCTGTATAAATGTCTCATAAATAAATAAACAATCAAATTCAAGTAAGTTTATAATTTAATTAAGAAGTTCTAGTTTGGATAGGGTTTTATGTTTTTTTATATAACTCACCTGACAAGCAGTTATTTTTGATATCCAGCTTTTCCAAAGATACAAATGAATTTAAAGGCACAAGCTCAGTTAATCTAAAAAAAAAAAAATAACAGAAGAGGATTTTTTTCAGCTAAATAAACCAGCAGTTCATAAAAGGAAATGGACCAGAATCTTTTATGATTATGACAATTTACTTATTTACATAAGAAAATACTCGTTTAGCTATCCAAGGTGCTAGAACTAATGAGTGAAATTTTAACTTGAAAACATTTCTTAGTCTTCTCCATAGCTCAGGTTTTAACATTTTCTCATTAATGTCTTGTTTTATCTAGTAAATATTTCATTCCGTTTCTTGCATTTAGTGCTGAGGATATGAAGTCTTGTAAAATTCACACAACTCAACTGGCTTTTCTTCAGGCACCGTAACTAGAATGAAACTAACAAAAGGCCTTGATTCTGGACAAGAAATAAAATCTGCTTCTCCTCTGGCCTCTGCCTTCATTTCTCATTGCTCAAACTTCTTGTCAGTTTGTTTCTCTCCTCCACTCAGCCCATTACTTCCTAGATCCTAAAACTAACATAATTATTGTCACAGTTGTATTTAACAGGTCAAGGCTGCACTGTCCTGTAATATATTTTTAGTGCTTCCTCTGTCTTACTGCTTATGTAAGACAGTGTCAAATAGGTGCCTATTATACAGACAGTTATGGAATTGCTCTTCTTGCATGTCAGAGCTTTTCCTGTGCAATAAAGCAGCAAAGCAGTAGTAAAGCCATGATAAAATTCTTATTTGGTATTGAAGAGTAAATGTAAGGAAACTGAGCTGACATTCATCTGTACAAAGGATTTTGGACTGTAAGATGTGTATTATCACTACTACTAAAACATTAGCATCCAGTATTATTCAAGTTTCTTTACTTACAAGCTTGCATCAGTACAACTAAGAATGAATGTTGAATGGTTTGGTCAGCTGCAAAACTATTTCCAAATACTACTTTTTGGATGAAAAAGTTTATTTTGTTTTATGTTAAATATGAAAGAGGGAGGAAAAATTAAAATCAAGGTGCAAAAAGCCCCATCCCAGTCTTCAATTAAAACTAGAATGTTTATATATAAACACATACTAAATTAACTACACTTTTTTAAAAAAAATACACGTTTAGGTAACTTATTTCATCCCTGTAAGGACAAGGCCTAAGCCTATTGAGAGAATGGTAACACCAATGGTAATGCCTGTAGTCACTTTATGACTGCTACTTTTCATGGAAAGCAGTATTTTCTGAGGATTATAGAGCCTTTGAAAGCTATAAATCAGAATTCTTATCGCTGGAAACATGACCATGCAAAAAACCAAAACCCACTCACTCCACAAATTTACAACTGGTCAGAGCCAAAAGTGCTTATTTGTCACTCAAATGTGTGACCATGTTGTGCTTCCAGCACAGGCATTACAACCGAAAGACAGAGCTGGATTTAACTCTCGTACACAAACTCTGGAACAAATGTTGGTTGTAGATTCTTTAATCTTATTGAAAATTTGACCATATGCAAAATAGGAAAAAAAACTAAAACATTTCCATGTTCAGTTGACAAGTGTTTCTACATCACAACACATTTTAGTAGTAAATTCAGAGAAACAGATATAAAGCCAATTGAGTATGTGTCTCTTGTTCTCAAATCATGTTGTAAAGTTGTCCTGGTTCTAGTCCTACTTAGTTCTATTACCTCCCTGACAGTTTTCCATGGAATCAAATAAATATGAAGTTTTAACTCTAAAAAGTATTAAGCCTTATATGTAGATCTGTACATAGTACTGCATATATCAGCATTTTAGGTTCTCATGACCAGTCAACAGTACATCAATCTATTTAACACTTGTAACAAATGTCATCATAGATACTAGTGTCTAACAGTATTGCTGCAAAGACTGAAAAACCACGATTCAGATTATAGATTCACATTTTCAGAAATATCCAGGAAAATAAACACTGTACTTTGCACAAGGGACGAAAGATAACACAGTATTTTTTTATTTATAGTGAGTGGGATCCCTGGATCTTTATCAGTATATGCTGTGGTGAATTAGAAATTGTCTACTGGACTATCCTTGCCTGCCGTTGGCATTATGAGAGTTAAAACGTTTCCCCGTCATTCTATAGCTTTCCTTTTACTGACATTCTTTGTTAATTTTTTTCCTAAGAAAATTCAAACCAGAAAGACAAAGGACATTACTGAAAACTTAATACTACTTGACCTTGTCACATTAGCCCTGGGCATAAGAGAGATATAAATTACAAAGAAGACACAAAAGTAAAAGATATTCACAAAAAAAGCAAGCTATAGCTTCCTCTTTCTGCTCCCATTTAAGGCTATAGCAGGACAGGTCACAGATAGCCACAGAAACTCTACATCAGAAAGCAAGACTTAAGAGAGTAAAACAGTCGCAAGTATGCATCAGAGAAAATAAATATTGCTTTTCTGAACACAAATAGCAGTTACTGCTCAGGATGGTCCAAATCCTGCTGTGCATCTGCTTTTCCCCAGAAAAATTACCATTGATGTTAATGAGAGGTTAGCAGGAAGGAGGGCAAAATAATTAAAAATAAATTTATATTAATCTATATCTTTAAGTAAAGCCCATATTTATCATTCTTTAAAAAGAAAAATATTTTCATTTTCAATATTCACCATATTTATAAGTAGTTATCAAATATAATGTAGGAAATTTGTCAGTTAGCCACTTGTTTCTTGAATACTCTAGAAGGCAATACTTCAGCTGTACTGCCCATGGTGCTACATACTTAGAGATAAACTTATCACTAGCAAGGAATTACTGAAAGTGATCAAAAAAATCTAGACTGGTAAGGATGGGATGGGGAAAACCACTGTAGATAAATATACCTTTTTCATGACTGACTTATTTCAACATCCAATGACATTTAGATTTACTATAACTCTGGAAAAGTGGTCAAATTCTCAGATCATGATGGCTTGCAATGACAGTGAGTTCAACTCTTACGTTTGAGAAATTAGGTTAAAAGCACAGATACTGTACCTACTTCATGTACTAAGAGATGTTGAGTGGGATCCCACTCAACAAACTGAGTTGACTTTTTATCATATAGCATTTCTATCATTAGTCTTTTAGGAATAGTATGCATCTATTTGCAAAAACATGAGAGCAATGTGTTCACAAAAAATTTGATTTTGGCCAGACCAGTCCCTCCCCGTCCATCCCCCCCCCCAAAAAAAAGGATTTTTTGCAGATGAGTGCATTTTTTGAAATATTAAATTTTTATCTACCTCACTTAGCTAAATTAATGAAAAACAAGAGATAGCAAAAAAACCCAACTTTCCCATATGAATGCCATATTAAAACAGAAATTTTAAGAGGGATAGATTTGTCTATTTTGAAATTTAAAAAAAAAAAAAAAGTAATGCCTACCTGAACAGCAAATTGATTTAGTGTCTCACTATAAAACTTTTAACTGAAACAGACATTAACAAGTAAGCTACATAATGAAGTGGGATTACATGTAAATATAAATACCACATGAACTCTTAACACATATTAAATAAATATTTAGTCCCAAGGGCAAAGTTTTTCTCTCCTAGACCTAAAAGTTTATCCACAACAGAAGAAAAAAGAACATGAGCCTTTTTTTAACTAACTTAACAGTTGCATTCTCCAGTTGCTATAAAATAGAGCACAGATCTTCATAGTCCCAATTCCACAGTGACCAAGTCAAGAGGATATTCATCATTGGCTTTGGTTCACTTGCACATTGACCAAGTATATGCTCTGTATGTGAAAGCCACAATAAAACACTTAATTAAAGCAGTAGTGGTGAAGCAGCTGCCATTTTTATATTTGAACGAGTTAATCACTACCTGTTATATTGTAATTCCTTGTTGCTAGATTGTAGGTTTTAAAAAAATTAGGTTTTGGAGTTTTATTGTCAGTTTCTAGTTTATGATACAGACAAAGCATCTCAGGAATAAAAAAAAAATCCTGTAAATTAATGTAATAATTTTCTTTTCACAGTACTTCACTTTTAGAAAGAATACAGATTCACAGCATTACCATTATATGGGCTTCCTGCAATCAGTAAAAAGGAAATGGCACTCAGTGCACACTTGAAAAAAATTCACAAAATTGCACTAACTGTAGGATAAAAGTAAAGAAACAGCTTTTCTTTCAACAGCTTACTCCATTACATTCACTGTTTCTACAGAACATCGAGTTACTTATGCTATAGCACACACATATGGAGCTGCTTATAAGTGTACATAAAGTGAGTGTTACAGAGCAAGCTACTGAAATGCCAGGAATTTTGAGGCTTTTAATATGCATTTAAGGCTATCTTGTCCTGTTTGTCACAAAGATTTGAGATAAGCTATAGATACATCAAGGAAAGAAAGGGAATTGTTGGGGGAGGAGGTGTGTGCTTATTTTCAGCACACGCAGTTTGCAGATGCAAAAATATGTACTTTCTCCCAAACAGAAGAAACTCAGTGAACCAAACACTGCATCTCAGCTTGGCCACTGGAAAACCAGAATAAGCACTACAATGGACATTAAAAACTGTACAGCCATGGGATAGGAGAGTGACATAGAGTACATCTACATGGCCAGTCCGGCACAGCCTTGATCCAGAGGCTGCATTCAAGCTATGTCTGAGACCGTGCTTCTAAGTTTGTTCTCTCCCTAGCAGACACATGAGGTTTTCAAGCAGTTTTGCAAACTTTTTATTACACACAGCACAACGACACCTTGATGTTAGCAAAAAACAAACAGGAGGAAGACGAGGAAACTACAAGAAGATAGAGCCACATTACTATGTGGACAAGGAGAAGAAAGAAAAAAAGAAGCAAAGAACATGAATTAAATCAGTATGTGTGATTCAGATTCTAACATTTAACAAATAATGCCCATGTTAATCACAGGCAGGAAGCACTTTCTCTAAACTCCAGAAGAATTAATTAAAGAACAAAAAAAACTCTAAAAGCCCAGCAACTTGAAGATTAGATTATGTAAATATAGCTAGGTGTTATGTTTACATCCAAGAGTTTATGTACATACTACTTTATTTGAGATGATATAAAAACAATCTGAAGAGTTATACAAAAATATAGGTTGTATATACTCAATTATATTAATTTTCCATGAAGGACATTCCTTCTAATAACAGGACTCAGTCTTACAGATCTTTTCTCCCACAGGATCCCAGCTACACTTGACTCTGCTGAACTAACTGTCACATAGGATGGGATTCATCTGTTCAAATGCAGACACCTACATATGTGCTGGTCATTTTGACTCTGTTAATAGTGAGTGAAGAGGCACTTAGAGGGTATGACTAGTCTCAAAGCAAAAGGCTAAAAGTGGCAGATGAATCACACTCTAAAAGCATCTCCTCTTTACTAACAGGAGAGTAAAGTGATAAGTTCAGAGTGTATATCCTGTATATTGTGCGTAACAGTGTGTATTCTATTTGTTTAGCTGAGATCAATCTTGTTCAGAGCAAAATGGTCACAATATAGAAAAATAATTAATTTCTACTAATTTAAAATTCATTTTAATACTAACACACTGTAAATTACAATAATTGTTCCTTATTTTTGTAGCAGAATTTAGACTGAGAAAAAGGGGATGGGTTAATCAGAATTTTGATTCCTGAATATCTGCTCATTCTAACTCTACAGACGTACAGATTAGCTTAGAAAATGAACAGAAAGCTAATTACAGACTTGAGTGCATGATCCAGTTTTATGCTGTGTGTCTTGATTCTTCTTTTATACCTTTCAAACTGAATCATAAGAGTGAAAAAATTAAAGCAAATATGCTTGTTTTGGAGGGCATTAACATATATATGTAAAACAAAACCCAATATTCTCATTTGTCATTTTTAACTCTAGTAGTTGCACTTAATGTAGCCTTCAGAGTCTGTTTTGAATAAGCTAGCTGTGAAATATGAAGTTTGACAGACATGCTCTAGAAACAATTGCTAAAGAAAGAAAAAAAAAAAGAAACACCATGGTTTTAATAATGCCACAATGCTCAAAAATTATTTTCATAAAACATCTAATAGAAAAAATTACTTTTCATAGATAATGCTGTTTCAAATTTTCCTAGCTATAGGTAGCCAATGTCACTCATTACTTGTCAACCACGTATTTTCAAAGAATATCTGGAAAAGATAGTGATATTTTAACCATACTGAGAATTATACTTTTCAGATAAGTCTTACATTAGTAAATTCCTCTGTATCAGTTTTGTAAGTGGAAGAATGTTTCTTGCTTACCTATTTTGAGACAGCAAAAGAATTTGCAACAGAGGCAACCAATACAAAGAGAGCATTCTCACAGTAGAAATGCTATTGTCATCCAAATATAGTTCTTTTAGGAGAACATGATTTTCCAGTCTTGGAAGCTAAATAGAAAAGAGATGGTTATTTAAAAATAATATAAATTAGAGAAACAACAATGGAATGCTTACCAGATGCTTTTCATAAATCATTACTAAATACAAGCAAAAACCACATTTTGGATATGTGTATCATTTCCTTATTATGTATGTACCAAGTGTCACACATAATTTCTACCTATCAGGTGGTAAGTATTTTTTTGATGTCTTCTACCTAGTCTGAATAGTCCATACAAATTTGGAAAAAAAAAAAAAAAAGAAGTTGTCAAGAACCCAAGTGACACAATCTTACTATTTTATTCATGCAGTTATTTGCTGCTTATTGACAATGTTTTTCCCCCTCTCGGATTCGTAAGAGAATTATAGTCAGTAGATATGACTAAGTGTCCTGTTAGCAAACTACTTTCCTATTTTGAATGCCGCAGCACAAACTTCAACTTTTGGAGGATCAGCATACATCAAATCAGCCTGAACTATTACTTATATGTAATGATAATAATATTTTGTTACATTTTATACAAAGAATCACCATCATATAATACAACATCTGATCCTATTAAAAAAAAGGAGGGAAATATAATTACTGAGGGGCCAATTTTTCAAGGACTTAGGAGCAAGAAAATACTTAACTGCTAGCCATTTGTATCTCTGAAAAATCTCCCTCTAACAGGGGAAAAAAAAGCCTAGCTAAGAGCACGAAATATCCCACAGCAAACAAAGAGCACATGATCAGCATTCTTAAAAATATGATTGTTAACAAAGATGTATGCACAACAGCCACCGAATTCAAAGCTTTTACCTCCTGGAGGTTATTGCCTTGCAACTTCAGACTCTGAAGGAGGCCACAATTCTCAATGCCTTCAACTTGTGTGAGATGATTAAAAGAGCAGTCTAGGTGAATGAGAGTAGGTGCCTCAGAAAGACCTTTTGTGCTGATTAACTGATTATGGTCCACAATTAATTGCTGAAGATTTTTCAGTGACTCCAGACCACCTGAAAATTAAAGATTTTAAGCTGAATTAAGCCATGATGAAATAAAACCCCATTGGTTTTCAAGCACTAAGAAAACTCTGAACTTTCAATATATTTATATTATCTATAGTAACCATTAATATTAGTCCTGTATAAGGTTTAAAAATAATTACTGTATTTTGACCCTATCAAATATACAATGCATACAGTTCACAAATTTCTGATCCTGTTAACCAAGCAATAATAACAGTTTTTAACCCCTTTAGCACTTTTGCTGGCACAGAACATTGTTTTAGTGACAAACTATACCTGTTATGCTTTAAGCACTTTATAACTGCTACTTGGAACCTATGGGCTCTGTGAAATGCTAACAGCCCTCTTAAAACCACCCCTCAGAATGGAAACAGTATTTATGTTTAAAAGTTGATTTTCATTATTTCATTCTTAATTTTTTTTTTAAATTATCAGCAAGGTGAGAATAAATTGTGTTAAAACTTAGACCAGCACCACCTCTATTATTTAAGTGCATCTTGTTTAAGGAATTATGTTATAAAATATATTTAATGAAGAAATTTATAAAGAAAATTTAGTGCCTTTAAGTATAAAGCTATACTTCCATAGCCATCACACTCTCAAGCTTAGTCCTGCCAGCTAGCGTAAACAGCAAGAACATGTGCGATCTCTACTCCAAAAAGATGCAAGGGAAAAGGTTCCTGTCTGTGTCTGTTTCCTTCACAGAATTTTTCCCAAATCATCCTCTTACAACAGCAAAAATCACACTGTCTTTCCACAGTCTTACACATGCTAGATGTTCTGCAAAGGCACCGATGCATCTGACTTGCTACAGGTCCAAGCAGTTTTTCTGTATCTCTGTAGTAAACCCCCTTTGAAGGGACTCCCTTTACAAAACATATCTAAAATAAGGAATTTCCAAATTTACTTTTCTCTCATGTGTTCCTCACAGGATTATTTGAAGCAATACTTTGTCTCATCTTTATTTCACCCAAAACTTCCCAAGTTCCCAAAAGGAAATTGGGTGAGCTTTATAGAACTTAACATCTTTGTGACTGTCCACAGAGAATTAACTGGATTATGAAACCAGAGGCTAGTTTGCACCATAGATTATTGAGAATACAGAAGAGGAATTTAAAAAAAAAAAGAATGACAAAGAGAAAACAGAAGTAAAAAATTAAATGCCAAAACTAGTAGTAAATTACAAAAAAAAAGTATCAAATAGAGGCCTTTGATTCATAGTAATTTAAAAATAGAAAGCACCTAGCAGAAATAACACAACTGCCTGATATTAAAGAGATATCATCCTAAATCTAAAACAAATGTCCCATGCTATAACTTCAAAACTGTGCTTTAGGAAATAAATATAAAAACCTTTAATTATTCTGAAAGAATTTCAAACATGCCCATGACATACTATCCTGACTGCAAGATCCTGGTCTGTATTTTCTTTTATGCTTGGATAAAAATAAAAAAGGAACCAGCACCATCTAGTGGTCTCAAAACAATTTCGTGTCAGACTCTTAAAATTAGCTCTCAAGACTTCCTCACAAAAGCAGTCCTTAAATCTCCACTTTTAAGTTATCAGTAGAGCAGTACCGGAAACTTTAAAAGCACTGAATTAGCCTGGAGTGGGACAGAGAGGAGAGATTGTACACACAGTAGGAAAAGGAAAGGAGTTAATACATGATCTGGAAATTTCCTATTCTGCATGCTGCACAAAGCGCCTTTTTTACATCTCCTTCTCCTCATCTGTCTTGTTTAATTAGACCGAATGTCATTCGGAACAGACATGCCAAGGCTACATACAATGGGATCACAATCTATTCTGGAACTATGAAATGCAGTCCAACAGAAACATACACAAGGGAGAATAATGTAATACAAACAGATGGTATTTTAATGTTTCTTCTGCACGCATGCAAAATTAAAAATAAGCATGAAACTCTTCTGCACATTTCTAGAAGATACTGTTTGGTTTATGCATGATGCAACCAACATCAGCTATGGCAGTATATGGGAGAATGCATTCTGTTGAAAAACATATGGTTTCAGCAAGATTTGTGGAGAACCTGTATATAAGTAGTTCTACAGCAATTTGCAAAGTGCTGCTGGAGTCTGTTAGCTAGGGACTCTATCTTAGCTATCAATGCAAGTTCTGAAGTAACAGTCTATGTGTGACAAAGACGAATGGTAAGAGAGGAGTGAAAGCTGACAGTGAACATGAAGATGAAAAAACATAAACAAACCCCCGAACTGAAAGGTGTCTGATAAAAAAACCTGTGCTTTCTTAAAAAGAATAGGTCCAAAGAAGCATGTACGACTACCCACAGCTATGCATTGCTATTCTTAGCACTGCCAGGATTTTAGCCAACATCCTATGACAATATAGACACCCTACAAAAGTGTATTCTACAACTCAAGTCAAAATGGTACTTTCTGTGTAAAAAAATTTTTAAGTAAAGCATTCATCTTCCAAATACAAACATATGCACTGAACTTCAGTGTCTTACTGACACAATTATTTAATTTGTGATCATGCATTCTCTAAGTGGAAAAGCATAACTGAGACATATTTCTGATACTTTTACCGCTATTTTTAAGGGTTTTCTGGCAACTTTAATTTATCCCCTACTAATGCTATATTTCAGTGAGAGGAGGAAAAAAGAAAAAAAAGAAATCATAGTATGCTTGAAGTTTCCTACAATAAGTTATTAAAACATAAGTATTACAAAGATAAATAAGCCTTACTTCTCAGGAAAAAGCCCACAGCCTTTGTTAAACCTGAACGGAGAACATTGCGCAGTACTGTGGCTTTCAGAATTGCTAGGGGACATCCTGCAAGGTTTACAGATGGGAGGGATACAATAACTTCTTAAAACTCATAAATCCATTTTTGTGTATTCTATGCAACTGCTTACAACCAATACGTTATTGTATGAAATAAATCCGGTATTACACATCTGTTTTAACCAGACATCCTCAAAGCAGTTCTGGACAGAGGTGAAAGACAGATTCCAAGCTAATTTTTGTGACTATTTATTTACCCAGTCAAATTCATCAGAGACTCAGTAAACATAGCAGCACACTGCACAAAACAGAAAGTACAAGAGGATTTTACTCCACTTGGCCTGTACAGATATTACATTCCACACAGATGCCACATTCCTAAATGTCATCCACTAATATTATTCTTACAGTAATCTTGCAGACATTTTTATCAAATGAGATAAATCTGAATAAGAATCTCACCCAGCATTATTTGCCACAAGGATATAGATAAAGCTTCTTTAACCAGTTTATTGTATTGTTTCCCATTAGGGTACTGATATGCTTTTACAGTAAACACGGATATTCCAGCACCTTTATAAACTCTGTATTATAAACTCTGTTCACAAATACTAACATTCCAAATTTGCACATATTAGCAAAAAATATTAAAAATATCAACATTAAACCCTCTAAATCTACAGATTTTAAGTTTTCCCATTTCCTGTTTGCTATGCCCTTGATATTTATCACAGAATTGCATTATCCATGTTCATACTGTTTCAGTCTCCTTTTTTTTTAAACAGTGGAAAACATTTTTTTATATAAATGTCTTATGTGAATGTGTTTCATCCATCAGCTTTGTAATTGTTTTATATTATTTTCCTGCTTGGAAGCAGGAAAATAAAGTATGTCCACATAATTTAAAGAAAATGAAAAGTCTAATTCAAGACCAATAAAATGAAAATCTCCTTATCTCCTTTCCATTCCCAGTTCTGCAGTCTTTCCAAGTAATGTCTTTAGATTTAGCACAGACTAAGAACAGAACTAGAAAGTCACCTTTTCTGATTTCATGTTTCAATTTATACAAAATGAATTACTTCATCACATGCAATTTTTTTCTTGACCTTAAGATTTTATTTCAATGGATAAATCTACGAAGATTCATCTCTGTTAAGACCGTAATACCGAAGTTATATATTCACCCGTATTTTGGTGGCCATTACAAATTTCACAGTGTGTCATGCACCAACCCTCAAGTCCCTAGAGTATAGTGAGGCTGTTAAATCTAGTTCTGTTCTATCTGCTGTGCTGTCTTCTTGAAGGAAATTTGCTACTTTCAGGCCTTGAGAGCTCCCTTTCAGGTAATGATCTGGCAATTTACTACTACCTTTTCTCAACTTGTAATGGTATTTTGGGGGACCACTAACGATCTTCCCTCTGTACATCATTCCAAAAAACAAAAAACTGGTTTCTCCACTTACATACAGCAAAGCTCTCAGTTATTTTCACTGCACTACACTTTCCTGACCTTTTGTCAGTAGAAAAGGCTCTTCTTGATCCTGATTACATCTATATCAAATCTGCATAATACAAGGCTCACAATGCAGTATTTTTGGCTTGCCAGAAGCTGAGACACAGTATCTACCCCTTAGGTACTTTACGGTCTGAGCGGCACTACAAACAGAGAGGCAAACACTTGTTTGCTACATGAAAAATTCCTGGCTGGCCAACAGAACACATCTATCTGCTGGCAGAAAGATTTCATGTATTGATGCATGTACTGAGTGGTCTGAGTGCATGTAAATTCTAACTGGTTGACTGCATGCTAAAGGTACATCTGTTGCCTCCCAACTGTTGGACCTAACAAATATAGCAAACTACCTTTGTAAATACAATAGAGGTTGGCACGCCTGCTGCACCTAAATGATTTGCATGACTCTACCTTAGACTCATTCTTTCTTCCAGCTTTGGCCCAATGGGCAGCAATGAAGAGCCAGGGGGGAGGGAAATAGGGAACAATAGTTTGGAGCCAGAATGGGCAGCATTTTAGTAGGAAGAGAGGCTGTGGTCCAGTGTTAGTATGGTTCACAGACTCAGATAAAACGATTTCTATGTAACTACTTACCGTGTCAGTCAGGTACATGCTGGAATTATGTGCAGTTGCAAAGCTAGGCTTTATATTAATTGTTTCTGCAGATAAACTGAACTCAGGCTACTCACATATTCCAACTGAGTTAGTGCAGGTAATATTAGTGGCCTTTCTGGAAAGATTTTTAGTTCTCTTTGGCTGACAATAGTTATATGACCTGGTAGATGGAATACATGACAGTAGCTAAGCCATAATACAAATAAATATGAAGCTGAGTATGCTTTAAAATGCAGGTCTGTTCTAAGTCTGTTGTCTCATTCTCCTTGGGCTTAGCAGCTGGCTGGCTTTGAATCCAAGGGAAATACAATTTTGAATATAAACAGCACAAATAGTGTTATACAAATGGGAATAATTTTTATTCATTTTCTTACCAATTCGAGTGATTCTATTGTAGGAAAGTTCAAGATTTTGGAGATTTATGCAGCCATCTAAGCCACAAACTGATGAAAGATGGTTCTTATTCAGAATCAGAATACAGAGATTTTCTAGATTTTCAAGGTCAATTATCTCAATCTTGTTTTCCTGCAATAAAGGAAAAGGAGAATATTAAATAGCATCTGAAATGAAATAGCAGAATTAAGTGTAAAAATATGGTAGATTGTCATCATTGCTTATTTTTATCAGAAACTTCTAGGTAGGAGTAATGGCATCGCTATTTTTTCCATTAGAAAAATAAATTGATGAGTTATAGAAACTGCCTTTTGTGTACTGCTGGGATAGAACAAAACTACATCTCAAACTTCATTCTGGTTCTGAAAATGCCCAGAAGTTGAAACAAAAAATGTAAGGAGAAGTTAAGGACAGAGTAGTCTTTTCCATATACACTTGCCTAGCCTCCCAAGTCCTGGGAGACTGAACTAAAAACTGCGTAGAAACCATCATATTTACTAGACACTAATGAAGACAGCTATGACTTTGATGGAATCCTATTTACTAACAATGAAAATTTGCATTAAAGGTGTTTTGGTCACAAACATCCACACTGTTCTCAGCTAATGTTCCTCCCCCAAGAGATCTTGCTCTTTTAACATCCCCTTCCCCAGGCCTTAATAATGCTTCCTTGGATTTTATTTCACTATTTGCTGCCCTTGTTGTTTTCTTCAGGTTTTCACCTGCAGATGCTCAAACAAACAAAATTAAATTCCCTGCCTTTGTAACAAACTGATTAAGCCAAAGAGCCCAATTCCTATTCCACAATTAACATGCTGACTAGATTTAGGTGCTACCTTCAGCCGCAGGCAGGGATTCACAGATTCACACAGGTTCACAGATTGGTAGGGATTGGAAGGGACCTCTGGAGATCATCTAGTCCAACTCCCCTGCTAGGGGAGGATCACCTAGAGCAGGTTGCGCAGGATCACGTCCAGGCAGGTTTTGAATATCTCCAGAGAAGGAGACTCCACAACCTCTCTGGGCAGCCTGTCCCTGTGCTCTGTCACCCTCAGAGTAAAGAGGTTTTTCTTCATGTTCAGGTGGAACTTCCTGTGTTCCAGTTTGTGCTCGTTGCCCCTTGTCCTGTCACTGGGCACTATTGAGAAGAGTCTGGCCCCTTCCTCTAGACATCCACCCTTTAGATACTTATAAACATTTATTAGATCCCCTCTCAGTCTTCTCCAGACTAAACAGGCCCAGTTCTCTCAGCCTTAAAAGGAATCAAATATGCTTGGTACCTCTACATTGATATACTTTAGGTCTTTGCAGCTACTTAGTCCTTCCAGTGCAACTAGTCCACAGCGTCTCAGAGTCAAAACTTGAAGATTTGAACACTCGGATAATGTTGAAAGGCTACAAGCTGGCAAATCTTCTAGTTTAAGTGTTGTAACCTACATGCATTTATTGATAAATAAAATTAATTGTTTGTATATTGAACATTCATCGTACAATATCACATTATGGTTATTTCCTTTAAAAAGAAAAACAGACCAAAACTACATTCTACTAACACTTTAGAAAATGCAAGCAGCTAGTTAATCCTCTCATACAGAAAAGAATGGCATTGATGGGTTTGATCTGTTAAATGGGAGAAGTTAGTATGAAAACAATCTATTTGATTTTAACATCCACCCTAAAATAAATAAAACCAATCCTTTGCTAATGACATTGAATTTGAATGGATGGAAGATTAACACTAAGGAAAGCAATTAATAGTGTGAATTATTTCCCATCACACCATCATAAATAGCGAGTGAGTGTGCAAGAACAGACAAAAATAGTTCAGACTAAAAGTGTATGTAGTCTAGCATACACTGATAAGTTAGTAAGTGGTAAGATAAGTAAGTGCTGGCAACCAAGAGATGTTCTTGACAGAAAAGCCCCATCTGTAAGCTGATCAGCAATGTCCTGTTTCTGGAAGAGACTAGTCTTCTCAAAACTGAAGGGGCTAGATGAGTAGCAGCTGAAATACGGACCCTCATACAAAGGCAAAAACCGTGTTAATTCAGCAGAAAAGAGGAGCTAGGAGCTCCTGCCTTTTACAGGTTTAAGATACTATCAATCATCTGAAGACTAATACCACACCACTCTGCTCCACAATCCTCACAGGAATTCAAAAGTCATTCTCATTGCCCTTATTCTGCATTTCTGCAGAGGAATTCTCACTGAGATCTGTATCCTGCTCAACAATAATCTCCTCCTCTTCCAAAACAGCATTCTGCTGACATCTCAAATGAAAAAAAAAAAAAAAGAAAAAAAAAAAAAAAGAAAAAAAAGAAAAAGTGATGGTATGGCTTCCCATTTCATTCTAAATCTTCTGTATAGTTACCTGCTGCAGAGTACTCCAAGGGCCACTATGAATTATCTTTTGTGTACTTAATGGAGGCATCTTGCTAACTGAACTTTTCCTTGGTCGTTTTTTTACAGTTGCTTGCTTTCTTTGGTTTTCTTCATATATTTTAGACCAAGATTTACATGTGTTCATCCAGTTTATTCTCTTTTTTTCAATATCATCAGGAAGAACTAGTCTACTGGAACACTCAGGTACATCCTGAATTCTGTCCCAGGTCTCTCTGACTTCCTTATTAGCATCTTCCACTAGTAACACAGTTTTCTTCATTGTTTCAGATGGAGAAAATTGATCTTTGACTATTCTGTTACTTGCATTTGGCTGGACATTTAGTGGACTGCTGCATACATTGTTTGCCTTATTTTCTACCATGTCATTAGCTCCAAAATTAATAGATTCATCACTTGAAGTATGACTATTTGGAGCTTTATTAAGATCTCTAGTTTGTGAGTAATTTTCTTCTACATGTGTTATTGAATTCATGTAGATGTTCTCCTTATTTACTTGAGAAGAGTGTTCCTTCTTCTCAGAGCCTAGCATATTTGGTGTTGGTGTCAAATTTCTTTCTGCTGCAATCATCCAATTATTTGTTTCATTCATCATTTCAGTCTGTTTTTCTTTTTGTTCTTCTACTTGCTTATTTACTTCCTCCTCCTGTTCTCTTATTACTTTTGTATTTTCTGTCTTCTGCTTATCCTTTTTTATGTTTTCTTTGTTGTTTTCTCTACTTTCACTCATCACAGCTTTTGCTCTTTTTTCTCCTAGTTTTCTCTGTTCTTCTCTCCTTGTTTGCAGTTGTTTTTCTCTTTCAACTCTCAGGCTTTCTTTCTTTTTCTCATATTCCTCATGCCTCCTCATCTGTTCCAAATATTCCTGTCTTTCAAGTTCTTCTTGTCTCTTTCTTTCCTCTTCTTTCTTTTGCCTCTTTTCTTCCATTCGCCTCTTCATTTTTTCCTCTTTTTCCTTCATTTCTCTCTCTATTTCCTCCAGTATTTTCTGCTTCATTTTTATTTCATCTTTCCATTCTTTTAAGATGGGAGCATATTTTTTACAGACTAAAAATGATCTAAAACTAGCTTGGATTTTCACAGCTGCTGTATTCCTTTGTTCTGCCAGGTGTTGTCTTTCTTTTGCTTTCTGCTCTTCCAATGCCTTTTTTTCCTCTTCCATTTGCAACTGTAGCTTCATGATCAATTCCTAGGCCAAAACAAGTAGGACAGACTTAAACTACTTTTAAAATATGACACACGTTGCAACATATTTATCATTAATAAACAGAATCTGCTGTAGTAACTGTTCCAGAATAACATTTATTCTCAAATTGATGACAGTAACCTCACAGTCCTTTGACAAAAGCTCACTGTACAACCTTACCTTATGTTGCATCATTTTGTCTCTCCAAGCTTTCTTTTCTTTCTGTAACTCATCTTCCATCACAGTTTGTTGTTTCTGCACAACAAATTAACTTAGGTGAATATTGTACAAAACCCAGAACATCACAAAACACCCTCTCTCCAATCATCTCCCCCATCTTATTGACTTTCCAACAATCCACTTTTGCGAATGCCTGAATTAAAATGAGAATCTTGGCTGTGCGAGGTTCAAGATAAACAACTGGACACTCAGGTCAGTAATGCAGATTTGGTCATGTACTGACAGATGCATACCTTCAGGGAGTTCCCATCTCGATATTAATCCAAACAACTGCCACCTTCCTCTCCAAATTCTGTACTACTATTGAAGATGAAAACTACGTTTATGAAACCAATATTCAAATTACAGGTAGATAATAGCAACATAACAGAAACAAAAGCTCTGAAAGTAGCATGAACTGTACACCCCTTTAACTGCACTGGTATGTTACCGTTAATCGTACAATCTTTCAAACAGGAATTTTGTTCAATAAAGAAATTTTTTTCACTGAAATTGTTTCTCGATGGAAAATGAAAGTTCAAGTCTATTTTCTCTATATTTGCAACTAAATAGCATTTCCCCCTCCTCCAACATACTCTCAATCAGGAAAAAAAAATAGTTCCAAATGATCTGGAATTACATCTGATTGATTGAAAATTAACAGACAGTAAGTGCCTAAAAACCACAGGCTGATCCAGAACCACCTAACTCCTGGTGGAACCAAGATAAATCAGTATCAGCCAAATTAAATACACAGCAGTATATGAACGTACCAGTATAAACAAACTAGCACTTCCATCTTGGACAAAGCCTCCCAGGAGCCTAAGCACTGCTTTTCATGCATATTCAGAAGCATGCTGTTCAGACAGTAGGACACTACAAGTCTAGATCCTTTTGTAACGAGGGAAATTAGACTCCATCTCTCACCTCCACAAAGGGCATGCTAGCAACAGCACTACCAAAGTGTCCAAATGGGAACATGCCCCACCTTTTCTAGAGAAAGCAAGCCATTCTACATCCAAAAGTGATTTATGACACCAAAGAGCAGAGGAAGCCTAATCAATTTTGTGGCCTGTTGAAAAGGGAGCTATCTCAGACTCTGAAATGACCTTCAGAGATCAAAGGCCTTTTCATTTACTCAAGACCTTCCTTAATTTTGGTGACGTGAATTACCTTGCTGGGACCAAGATGCTCACCTCTTCAGAAAGCTACAAATTAGTTAAATCAATATGTAGTGTTAATGCATCTTCTAAAACAGCAATATTTAGGCTAAATAATAAAATATTGTGGCCCCACAAGTATAATGTGGGCTGGTTACATTTTATCACATTCTTATGCTCCTTTATGGAGAGTTATCAAATTTTATCCCTCTGTGTGCACCATGCCCTATAGCAAAACATGGCTAGACACTCTGAGGATGCAACCAGTCAATGTATGAAGTCATGTTCTGTTGTGGCAGAACTCAGTAGATTAAGTCTGACTCAGTGTCCCAGATACAGACAAGAAAAAGGAGTCTTGTAACTTTTACTAGATGAAGCACAGCACCAGCGTTTCTAAATGGAATGATTTTGGTTCAGATTACTTCACCTGTGATTCTTCATCTAACTGTAAAATTAGGGTGGGAGGTCTAAAGTCAGTAAGTATTTTCTATTAAGGCACAGTGACCATTTTTCATTTGTGAGTAATTTAGCACAACTCTCATTTCCGGTACTTTGGCTGGTGTCATAATATAAAAACTTAGTAAGGGCAGAGCCTAAAAAATAATTTAACATTTAGCATAGCAAATTCATTTACTGTTGATCAAAGCAGTAAATGCATAAAACCCAAAGGACTGTACATAAATATGTCTTACATCTCACTTTGCTATCACAAGTAGACAGAGTTTAGGACAGTCATACCATTTGGGATAGTACTCTCTTTTTCACATTAGATCTTGAATTCAGATAGTCTAGATGGGAACAGATTGGCTTCAATATCATTAATTACCTTATGAAGAAGCTCTAACTTTATTCTTTCAGCCTCAAATTCCTCCAGACGCTGCACTCTTCTTGCGTGTTCCTCTTCATTTTTTTTTTCCTGTGCTTCCCTCTCAGCTTTCCACTTTTTCCTCTTCTCATCTTCAAGCTCCTTTTGTCTCTTCTCCCACCGCTCAAATTCTTGTCTACACTTTTCTTCTACCTCACGATAAGTAAGGCTTATGCTCATTTCAACATCAGCTACAAAGTTGTAATCAACAAAGCAAACCTTTTATTTAATTTCCTAATAAGTACTGGGGGACATTAAACAGTCTTAAAGTATTGACAAGAAAAGGATTCTGTGCTGATACAGCCAGCCATACATATCTCCAAGGAAAGCAGAACTATAATGTGAGCCTTTTCTATCAGACATCTTATTACCCTGATGCACACTTACTGACTCTGCTACAATAATGCTTATTCTACCAATGTATATTTCAGGATTATGCTTTGTCTTCTGTGGCTCTCCGCAGGGGTTTTATAACTGATGCACTCCACCCCAAAACATGCAAAGGCCATGGCAAAAGGAAATATTCACAGCCAATGTGACTATAAAAAAATTATAGAAGTTGTGGCCAAAGCACAACCTACTTAATGCCTCCAATCTGGCTTCCATTTGTATTCATAATTATTTAAATAATTTTTGGGTAGTATTTTTTGAAACAAATTTCTATCAAGACATTAAAGACTAGGATAATTTTTTTATCCTGAAATGAGATAGAAGCACGAGCATTTGCTCATGTGGAATTCATGAAGTATCAAAATCTATTGCATACTGTAACATGTAGTTCTTTACAAAGAATGTTATGATACTCATGAAAACAAAAAAGCAGGAAATAGTGATATGATACTAGAGATCAACTCAACCAAATGACTAATGCATTTGTTTACCTGGAACAAAACGGTCATCAGTGACCACATCATCACTGGTGGACTGACTGTTATAACTAGGTGATGTAGCAATCTGCAAGCCTTCGTTTTCAATTTCAAATAGTACCTTATATATGCCATTAAGAAACAAGAAACAAAATTTAAAAGCGTAACATTATAAAAATCTTCCAGAACAAGGATAATCTTTCCATCATATGACAAGTACAATAATACAAAACTTACTACTGACTGGAATCCTTAGACATTGAATAATGCAAATATGTAATCAAAATATTGTTTTCTAGAGTAATAAATATTGGAGTAATTCCCAAAATACATAATCTTTCTATGTGTTTTTTTAATATATTTTACATTTTGACTTGAAAAGTGAATGTTTTGCATTTGGGATTTGTTTTACTTTCTGTAGAACTAAGTACTATATTTGTGGATGAATACTTTTATACACATAGGGGAAGAACTAGTTACAGAGTAAATTTTTAAGAAGTCTGTTTGAAAATAATGCCATGGGAATGAAAATTGCTGTATTTCTTTCATTGTTCTATACTGTCAAGAAGTAATCTATTCCTGCTCATTTATCATCCATTCATCAGATGCTTGGGGCATATATTAATATTTGTAATGCAGTTGAAGTCACATAAAGTAATTGTGCTGTTCTAAACAATGGTCTTCTGAGAACAAAAAAAAAATCATGTTTGCAAAAGTGCTCACTAATAAAAGCCAGGTGACAAATTAAAAGTGATTAAATTACATACAGGTTTATTTTTTTCTAAGAACTTCAGCAAGTTATTCATTCAAATCCTACGAAAATATAAAAGAACCTAGGGTCCTAACTTATGATTTCTCTTTGACATTATTATGTTTACATTGTCTATAAAATAATGGAATATATTGGCAGCAAGATTAATAGTAGCAGATCCTCCTGATCGTCATAAAAAGAATACGATTAGAGAAGTTTAATAGTGTTATCATACTATTGAGATAATATTCTGCAAATAATTAACAATAAAGGATTATTCAGTTTTGTTTAATTTTGTTGATTTTTGTGCTCAGCATCTCAACTACTGATGGAGAGAATTTATTCCAAATTTTAAAACTTATAGTGTATTACACCCAATGTCTCAGTTCTAAAGAATAGCATATACAAACTCATCTTAATACTTTATGGATAGTCTGACAGAAAAAAAAAACTGAACACATGTATAGGTCTCCTTAGGAGGACAACAAAGTATAAGTTACCTAGATTACTTAATAGAATTTTGTTCATTATAAATATTGTTTAAATAGAGAATACCCTTTTTTTAAATTGTTCTGGATCTTCATTATATTCAGAAGCTAATTCTGCCAAATTATCTGAAGCAGGGCAAGAAACTACTCCATAAACATTACCTAAAGAAGAAATAAATATATAATTTAGTACACAGAGAGAAAATCCCTTACCAGTACTCAGTTCTGCTCTATACTGATTAGCTACTATATTTCTTTAAACTAAAATAAAGCAATTTTTTTTCCTTTAAAACTCTTACCCACTCAGTTTTACTCAAATATATATATGGGAGTCATTTATCTATATTAAAGGCAGCAAATATGTGTAACTGGAACACACACACAATGATACTGTAAGAATCCAGTGACAGCAAATATGAAAGAGACTTGCAAAGCATAGAACACAGCAGAACATTTTCTGTGTACAAAAATACCGTAGAAATTCTATCATCAGGTCAAAAATTGACAAAAAACTAAAAAAAATAATGAAAAAGAGTGTCCATTACAAACAAAAGGATAAAAGGAAACCTTCCTCAAATATCAAAATGTATAGATAATATTGAACTTTTGTTCACAAAGACCATTACACTGAATGAGTGTGAAACCCAAGATGATGTGAAAAAAATAGAACGGAACAGACAATGCCAGCTCTCTGGCGTATAAACTATGAGCTTGGCTTCAGTCACACAGCTCACACAGCAATATTGTTCCCAATTACAAGGTCAGTTTATTTAATGCTAGGTTGGATATCTCTAAAGACAGACTTTAGATATATCTATGTGGTTCAATTGTATCTGTACTCTTAACTTCAGCTCCTAATGACTTAATTTTAGATTCTCATGAAGGGTCTGGCCCAGGTCCTGTTTCAGAGAATGATCCTGCAACTTGCCTTGGTCTATGGTTTAGCATCAGATGAATTTTTAGAAAAATTCAATTCATACTCAAATGTTAATCCTAGAAGACAGCATTGCATAGTTTTATTCTTACAGATTTACAGCATGCGTTCAGAAGCTGATGCAATAGGTTTCACTGCTTGTTCTACTTAAAAGTTTGCACTGTTTTACTGATGATTGTTAGTCTAACTTCCACTGGCAATACCAGGTGCATAAATATTTTAACTGTGATCCCCGCTTACTTGTAGTTTCTTCATCTTCTAAGTCTTGCAGTATAAGCTTTTCAGCATCTTGATTTCTGCTCTTTATAAAGTTTAAATAGGAGAGAAATGATTCTGGCAAGTCATCTGAAATCTAGAAAAACAAGACATTTGACAAATTCTACATTTTCATCTCACAGGCACAACCAGAGGTAAATACTTGACCTGCAAGAATAAAGACTCATTTTGACTTCCCCTATAAAGCACTGATGGAGATGCAGTAGCAATTGATACCAAAATTGTTGCCAATTCCATGTTGTCTTATCACCCACAGAACAATTAATAACTCTCCTTTTTAATCACATACTAATTAAATTTTGATTGGAACACATTTTAGTAACTTATCTTCCACTGTCTTCAGAAACATGTTTCTGTTAACATTTTCTTTATAATTGTGTTGGACCAAGAAATTAAGGAGAAGGTTGAGACAAAAATTAACAAATACTTATGACACACAAGATCATTTTTCTTAAAAATGTTCAGACTCTTTAAAAAGTAAATTAATTTTAAATTTAATAATGTTTAAAGTATGCATGTAAATCAGATGCTGCAACTTTCTTTACTACATAGATATTTTTTTATTCAAAAGACTGGCTTTTACTGTAAGGATTTGGGAAAATGGATTGCCTTCTCTCAGACATGTAAATTGCGGTAAACTTTGCTGACATTCAGCATGTGAGTGCACAAATAATTATCACGGATGCCTCTGCCTATCATCATGTCAAATCAAACATACGATTTATGGTCACATACGACCAGCATCATCTACCCTAATATCCTATAGACCAATCCTTTTGCTATGAGTCTGAAAGGTTAAAATAACTGAAAAGGACCCAAATAACTGATTGGGTTTCAGAGGAAAATCTTTTCCCCAAAATAAGAAGTCATCCAATAAAGAGGACTTGAAGCACCAATTTGTATGAAATTAGTATCAGGAAGTCTCCAAACATAAGACAGTTTCTTGAGAGATATAAATACAGATTTAAATGAAGAATCATTGGCTTATTCATCCAGATTTAACCTATCTCATTAGCTTTAATAAAATCTTCCGGCTCCAGAGAATTCTAAAACAAATTACTATCTACGAGTCTGATTTTCTCACTTAAGCAGAATGCTGATACTCATCTCTTTTATTGTCTTGTCACCACTGGTGGTTACATTTTTCATGAAGCAATACTACTGAGACTACTCTTCAGAAGAAATCCTCAGGTTAGGTATGTCAGGAAAAAGTTCACTCATCAGATCAGCTTTCCAATGCCCGTACTACTTTCAAGCAGAAATAGAAGCAGGTTTGGCCCACTGAATACTTACTGTGTCACTGTCACTCAAAGCTTCGTCTGATACTTCTGTGTCAAGATCATCTGCTTCAAAGGAAGAAACACTGATTCTGCTTAATTCAATTTCTATTTCTTTTTCAATTCCTTCAATATCTTCTGACATTCTACTTTCCACAGTGTCTTATCTGCTTTCAAAGCCACACAAAGAAAATATTAATTTTCAGCACTGCATGAACCAAAATAAAGAGGGTGCTCATTTAGCATAAGTTTATTCAGATATATTGATTGAACAGTTGGCTTAAAACAAGAAAAGGAACAGCAGGAGTGTGTTCTGAACACCTCACTCCATACTGATGTGCGGAAAATCAGACTCCACAACTGGGAAAGTTGTAAAGTAGGTATGTTTATTCAGCGCTGGGCAGTACGGGGGGTCATCCCACCAAAATCGTGCGCACCTTGCGGCAATTCCCTTTGAATTTTATACAACAAAATGTTACATATTCAAAAAGCGCCTATACATATTCACGATCTGTCCGTGGAAAGGCAGTCTTATTACAATGAGTTCATTTCCATTGTCTCCGCCTTTAACTCCTCTCAGCTGCGCACATGCAGTGCCTCTTGGTGGTCGTGGGCTGGGGTCTTAGGGATGAAGGCCGTATGTCTTCCTCACTGTGCATTTTTCACCTTCACCACAAAACTTACTCAGACCGGTTCCTAATTAGCAGAGAATCCTCCGTGTTCATTCCATTCTGATTTACTACCTCCTTATCTTGTGATTGGTTACAAAAATGCAAGCAGAGCGAAGGGTCATCTTGACCCTTCCTTACGCTAGTTCTTGTTAAAACATCTTACGTAAGGGTTAAGATTACTAGATATGTGGCTTAAGCTAGTTAATGGTCCTGCTATTTCCCTTATGTGTTAGTTCCCTCTATCAATACCAACAAGCAAAAAATATGAAAAACATTAGTTTATGAGAAGAGAATCCCCCCTCAGTCTACCCATCTAAATTTTTCAAGTGTTACCAAATTTGAATATTAAAAACCTCTGCCTGCTCTCTACTCCTTATGGACAGTATCTATGACCTAAACCCCACAAGGGGTTTTTCCAGCCCTAATAGCTGAAAAAAAAAAAAAAAAAAAAAAAAGCTTCAAACAATAAATACATATAAATACATATTAACAATTACAAAATAAGACTAAGAATCCAGAAAGCACTCGATGAAGTTGTAATGATACAGAGAAAACAGTGAGAAATGGCCTAACCCACAGAAGTAGACTTGTAGATCGATCCAGGCAGGAGGGGGAGGGATACCTTGCCGTTCCCCCCCGCCCTGCCGAACCAGCAATCATACGATCCACAC